ATATAAGACAATGGATATTATTGTTTCACTGTATAGATCAATTTTAAGGCCTCACTTAGAGTACTGTCTACAGTTTTGGGCCCCCTTGCTTGAGATGGACTTTGATTTGTTGGAGAAGGTTCAGAGAAGAGCCACTAGGATGATACCTGGAATGGTGGGATTGTCCTATGAAGAGAGACTAAAATCTCTAAATTTGTTTTCTATGGAGAGGAGAAGGGTCAGAGTGGATTTGATTGAAGTGTTTAAGATTATTAAGGATATTGATCATATAGATCCATCAAACTTTTTTGTGTTTAGCATTGAAAACAACAGGACAAGGGGTCATAAATTCAAATTTTGGCAGTGTAGGAGTCCTCTGCAGTTTAGACAGTATTACTTTTGAAACAGAGTATTTGGCTTTTGGAATGAGCTGCCTTCAAGGGTGGTGGAGGCAGAAAATTTAACTGAGTTCAAGAAAAGATTGGATGAATACATGAGTAGTAAATGGTGGTTATAGTTCGGAGCTGAAAGGGACATACTTGATGGGCTAATAAGCTCCCTTTTGTCCCTTTAAAATTTTATGAATTATAAATCTTGTTACTTTCTTCCACTTGTAGCACAAGCAACCTACCACCATATATTTGATTCTAGTGAAATTACTGCAAAGCTAGTGTCAGCATAGGTATTGGCTCTTCTCTAGTAGGTGAAATTTTAATATTTCACCAAATTCAGAATTCTCTCTCATTCTTACTCAAGGAATACATTGTGATATCACTGCCAAAGACCAATTGAATAGAAAATTCAGGTTAGCACAAAGAGTCAACACCACCCTTCTCCAAAGAAGAGAGCTCCTGGGTTATCCACAGTACATCGTGTGTGGACTGTAAGAGTGAATCATGTACTTGCCATACCTCTAGACTATAGAGATGGATTAGCAAACTTGATCTTCCCACCATAGCTCAACTTTAGCCACTTCCAAAGTCATTATCCAATGAGGAAGCATCAATTGTACTGAATGATGATCTCTATAGTTCACTATAAAGACTGCTCCAATTTATCTCATTGAACCCACAGTTATCTATGTCTTCTTGGTGACTTTCCACCTGTGCATGAAATGGATCAATTTGATAAAAGTTACCTAAGGGACTAGGCAATGACTCAGCTACATTGGGGTGGGGGGTAAAAAGAGTATAAAGCTCTAGAACCCTTGCTGTAGTGCAAGGGAGCATTCATCATTCAAAAGAGAACTTCTCTGGGTTAACTGAGGTTCCTCTGTTCTGCATTTCAGATCAAGCTGGCTGTTCTCCTCTCTACTAAATTTCTTTTCCAGAATGTAAAGGTATGTCTTGCAAGATTTCTCACAAGAAGCACAAGATAGAAAAGATAATTTAGAGAACTTGAATATACAAACAAAGTACCACTTCAACAATAATTAGATGTTGATCATAGGAACTAAAATTTGTTTGATCATGGTTATCTATGATAGTTCAAGGATAAACCTGGACTATAGTCACTCAACCTCCATGCAAACAACAGGTTCATGGATCTAATATGCAGAATGACAGTTGTGGCAATTTGTTGAAGGAAAAAAAAAAGCCTTATTCTAAAATAAAAATAGAAGAGTAGCTGGTTACAAGTTACTGTAATGAGTATTATTGAGTTTAGAAAAAAAGATATAAAACAAACTATATTTAAATAGAAAGACAAATTAAGACAACTTGATTTATAAGTAAAATGAAGTTGAAATAAAATGTGCATGATCAGCAGGTATGAAAGAGAATGACAAAAACAATGAACAAAACGTCTTCCTCAAATGGCCAAACATATTTAGTATGAAAGTGCTAAAAGATTCACAATACACATTTACTCTGTAGCTAAACAATAAAAAAAGGGCACCATAATGCAAAAATATATCTGTTCCATTTGACAGTTGCAAGTATTCCCCATACACAAGGTAAGGTAGGAAACAATGCAATTATCCCAAGCAACAGCAGTTAAGTTTCTTGACCATTCAAGCTACAAAAAAATAACATCTCAGGCTGAATTTAACACATAAACTTAACCAGATTTAGAATGTTACAAATAAGAACATTGAAAAATTTAAAGATTTAGAAATTATATATACTATAAGAAAATAAGGTATGTAGTACTTGCATATTAGAATGACACAGATGCATGCCAGAGGAAATAGTATTGTGTGCCACTCTCGTTAGACTTTCAATAAGTTTGTAACTCCCCTGTATCAGATGCTATATCTTTAATACTGACAACGATATGATTATAACTGATATTTATACTGTGATCAGTTGTACAGTTATTCAGAATAATGTCTCCAATTTCATGAAATAGCAGGAAATTATAAAAGAGAAAAATTGGATAGCTGCTATGATTAGGAGAAATGATTATGAAATTTTGGTTATCCTTGTTAACTTTATCAAACAAACTCTAAAGGAATGTATTCTTTCTAAAACTGTGGATTACAAAAGCCCATTCCTATACTTTAAAAATGAAAGATACTAGAAAATCATTAAATCTATAATAAAAGTAAAATATGGATTTAATTAAAAGAACAAAAACTACTGTTAAAGTTAACAAAGACAATAAAACTATTTTAAAGCAAAATATCAAATTTCACTTGAACATTTTATATGTTTATGTGAATGGCAAAACAAGAATAGCATTAAATCTTCAAAAAATTTTTAAGGGAATCTTATTACAAATTAAAGAACACAGGCTAAATAAGTATTTTTATTTGTGTTTTCACTAATGAATGAGAAGGGGTTACCAATTATGTTCAATTTATTTAAAGGTAAGGAGAGGCTTTTTTTTATTTTCAATGTTATTGAAGAGAAAAATATTCTGCAAAAGCCTGTTAGCTCTCATGAGAGTAAAACTCCTGGTACTGAAGCTTAATAATGCTATAATGGGAACTGCAACTGTTACCTTTAAAAAAAAGTTACTGTTATTAGGAAAATTATAGACCTATTACTTGACTTTTGATAATAGTAAGGTGTTGTAAAAACTGACACTTAAGAAACAATAATTAGCGTGGATATAGAAAGGGTTTTCTTACAAAATCAAATTAATTAAGTTTTTTTTGATAAAGTTCCTAAGTTTTTGGAAAAGGAAACCTTGGTATATGATGTGTACCTTGATTTTCATAACACTAAAAATAATGTTTAATAAAAATAGTAAATTAATAAGTTAGGTTCTCAAAGTGTTGGCGTAAAAGTTTTAAAAATGAAAGAAAACTAGTTAAGTAATAGAAAGCAAATATTTTTCTGAATAAGATTAGTAGGGCTTTTCAGGAGTTTATTTTAAAGCTTTAGTTGTTATTTATGTCAATAATTTAAATAGATACTTGGGAAGTAATATTTCAAAGTATTCTAATGATATTAAAATGCTGGGAAAAGCATTTTCTGTCAAAAATGCCTCTTTAACCTGAAAAGATCTGGAGAGTGTTAGAGACTAAGCCAGAAAGTGGAAAATAAAGTTTCAATAAAGTGTAAAGTTGTGTATTCAAGGTATGAAGAGAAATTACTTCTTGTGAGACAGAAGCAGCATTGTTGTATAAAAATACAAAGAATATAATTGTATTTAGTGACTCAAGCTCAAAGCTTTCTACTAAATATTTAGTTAATAAGAGATCTGGAATTAATTAATGACATTTTGAAATGATGAGCTAAAAGGTTTACTTGCAAATACTTTGGTAAATCCTCCTTTGAAGCTCTGTGTACAATTTTGGTCGCTTTATTACAGAAAAGATATTTCATTTTTTTGTCTATAGTATATATAAGATTTATATAACTCTGTCTTCAGTAACTGACTCTTAAACTACTTTTACCCACTACTCTCTGTCATATAATAGGTTTTTGTTACCAACTACAACAGTTACTCTGGACTCAATAGGATATTTCTGTATCTAATGTTTTTTAAATTTAACTTTTCCTATAATTCAGTGTTTTAGAAAATATTGCATTACTGTCTGTCTTTTACCTCTTATTACATAGCATTATAGTAACTAGCTATTACAGACATTCAGGTTTATTTATAAATACTGTCACAAATTATGAAATTTTAATAAATTTGGAAAAAATTTTAAATATCACCTAATTATTCAAAATAGCTAAAAGTTACAATGACATGTAAACTTATTAACTTGTATTACTAAAATTAAAGAATACTTAAAGCATAAGTAATATATGTTTCACATGAATGATTCTTTCAATTTTGAATACTACAAGCCTAAATGTTAAAATTAAATTCATTTTACTTTCTACAATTACAATTTATTACACAGATAAATTTATTGCTGTATGTGAATAATACACAATTTCTTTATACAAAATGATATCATGTATACTCATTTATTTATTTGACTTAATGAGCTTCATTTCTAATAATGTATATTCTTTTTAATTATTTATACAAATATATTGAATAATTTTTTGCTTTGGTATTTGAAATATTAGGGAAAACATTAATCAATAGATATGTGTATATAACTTAAAATAATAAAAATTGTTGGAAGTGAATCTCATTAAGTCAAGTAATGTCTGGACATCAAAGACTATTATTGCCATATATGATGATTAGAAACACATAGCTGGATTTAACTACTTTCCATTTTTATTTTCCTTAACACTACTCAGCTAATTATAAGAGTTGACCATCAGGACAATTTTGATATTAAAAAAAGCTAGTCACAGATACAATATTATCATGTTGTGCCATCTATCTATCTTTAAGTGAAAGATAACTAGTCTCAAAAATCAGACTACCCGGTGTGAATGTGAATCAAAAGTAAGAATTTGTATTGATCTTTATTTTTCTTATACAATTCAAATTAAAAAGCAACAGAGTATCTCAGCTCCAACAGAATTAGACAGGATTTCTAGATAGAATTGTACCTCCCTTACAGAGATCATCCATGTAGCAATATCTGCTATGCTTTAAATAAATATCTGCTGATGAAACTTCACTAATGATAGGGTGGATAGATTAAAAAAACAACTTTAACTGAATAGTAACAAAGTCTTTAAAATATAAGTATTAAAATTAATGAAACTAAACAAAGATGCAAATGAAAAACAGTGTAAATGAACACAGCAAGTATAATATATTGCTACAAATGCTAAGCTTGGAAATTAAAGCAAAATACATGTTACAATATCACTTTGAGAATGATAAGACATGTGATGAAACAATGGTGTGTGCCATAGCCATACTATTCTTTGGTAGAGTGAACAGTTAAAGTAACTTTAACAAACATTTAAAGAAGTATAGTTTAGAGAAATAAAACTTGTGTAAAAAATACAGATGTGCATTTCTTAAATACGTTATTTGTGGAGAAGAGACCAATTTTGTTATTCTATAATAGATATATGTAGTGTGGGTATGTGTGTATGTATTCAATGCTAAAATTACCAACAGCTGTAAAATAAACCACTGGAAAATCGTGGTATTACTGATGGAAAATGTTTCTTTCTGGAGTATTAGGAAAATTTGAATTAATATAGAAAGCTGTTATTTGGAAATACTGTCGATTTTCATACTTAAATTTGACAAGCATTTAATTCTCAGAGTGTCTCACCTTAAATTACCAGAAGAAAGATGGCTGATTGGAGGGTTAAAGGATTCCTGACTAGATGACTGATGATAATATTCGGAACCATGAAGCTCTCGAATGTAGTCTTCTAAGCTATCACGACTAAATTTTATCCCACCTAGAGACAAAATCCTGATAAGCAGTTTGTCTTTTTTTTCTTTAAGATGCTCTTACAGTAAAAAATATATCAATACCACATAGGATATCACAGAAGTCTCACATTAAGATTAGGGACTTTAAAAGATAACTCTGAACATTAAGCAGCAAGCCAAAATATTAATCAAAAACTCAAGTTAGAATATGAATACTAATTAATATCAATTTCATTTGTGAATATTATAGCCAAAATTTGGACATTGATACATGCTTTTATATCTCTCTCTAGAATTAGCCTAAATTATTACAAACTTTTTGATAATTGTATCTTCTCTCTGTAGTAATTGTTGTTTTTCATGGGAAAATGTATTTTTAAATTCTATTACTTTGCATAGTTTTAGATGCCAATAGATTTCAAACAGTGTAGTTTTCCACTATTTGCCAATATTTTGTTTAATATTTAAAACAGTTCATGAGGTCAGATATTGAAAATCTTAAATATCATCACACATCTATATCATAAACAGGAACTCGGAGTTCTATTAGCATTGAATCCAATATTGTAATGTTCCTTAACAAAGTGTAAATTCCAAAATGTTAACTTGTGATAAGTTCTGCTGTGTACTCTTCTCCTTAAATATATCATTAAAAAATAAATAAATAACCAAGTAAAACTTTTACCAACCAGGATCTACGGGTCCAAGTCTGGTGGCTACAGTGAATAAGACATCAGCTGTCCAAAAGCAAGGTATTCTGGGATATGCACGACCCACATCAGCAGGAAGATGAAAACCTAGTTTGTGCAATAGTTGAGTGAATAAGTCAGAGTGAAGAGCAGCCTCCTGAGCTTCACTGTAGGCCACTATCATAATGCTCTGTTTCAACACTAGAATTAAAGGAGAAAATATTAGTCTAAAGCTTTAATCAGCTCCAACACAGAAATAACTACACATTCACAGAATAATAATTTATTATGAACAGTTCTGTATATGCTGCATTTTTATACAGTATTTCTCAGTACTGTTGAGTAAGTATTTGCTTCCCGGTGATTCAACTGTAAGTCTGTGGGCTTATAACTCTAAAAATTTGGTTTCATTAGCTGTGACAGGCAGAGCATAAATAGTCCATTGTGTAGTTTTATGCTGAATAACAAACAAACAAAAAATATAAATTCCTAGCTTTATAGCAAATTGGGGAAAATTCATTTTTTTATTTTTTATTATTAAATCTCTTCAATAAATCTGTTATCAGAATGATACATTATTTATATGACACATGTATATTGGTAAAAGAATAAGAAAATATCTTAAAATAAAATTTACATTTTTACTTTTGTTTGAAGAAATCTGCTTGAATTTAAAAAGTTTTGATATTTATTCTAAGGCAGTTACTTTATTCCACACTCCAAGGGAAAGAAATGATCTTTTAGTTTGCATCTTTAACTAATTTTCAATAAAAATATCATACATAAATTATTTCTGCAGCAATAAACTATAAATACAAAATTATATGTACATACAACAATACTACTAACATAATTTGTTTTGAAAAAGATTATTCAGAAATGTTTCTCATCTCTCTGCGCGACAAAGAGCTATTACCTCACAAGCACTGCCATGCCAATTCTTGCACAATTCTTGTAAAAAAACTTCCACCTCTACATGCGTCAAACTATGAGGTGATCATCATTAAACTATAGCCCCATAAAATAAGAGGGTGACACATCCTCCATGCACAGTTATCCCCACGAGAACTAGCACTTGAACATAGGCTCATTCTTTTATTGATGCTTCTTGTCTTCAGACATGTCTTTTTTTCCATATGATTTACTGGCATTCTTGTGCTTATTGTTTTAACCTTCTGTTATTATTTGTTCAAGGTCATCATTAGGCCTATGCACCATTACCATACCTGGCTCACTTTTTTTCTAACAAATAAAAAAATTTACAATCAAATAAAGAAAACATCTAACTTCTATGTATTTGACAAACACAGACCATCACAATATCAGTTTTGGGAATTAACTGGATTATGCATTCACGTTTCCACATTTCTGGCATCTCCCATGGTTTTTGCAGGAGTCATATAATACTGTAATGGCAACTGGACTCCTTTAGCTAAGCCTGCTCAATCTTGTGTTTCAACACTTGTTTCCATGCCTGCTTTTGCTTATTATTCCCTCATCCTGACATGTATCAAGTAATCCCACTTTCTTCTTAAACTTCTTGGATTCCATCAGTTTGTATCTTTTCTTTTTCCTCTAGTAATTTTTTATTCCATTTTGTCCCAATTACCCTTGTTTCTGGGGTGTTCTTTGTCAGGTTGCCTTAATTTCTGACTTTTGCCTCCTCCTTCTCCTCTCCAAGAACCCTGCCTTTTACTTTTTTTATACACTGGCATCTTAAGATGGTGTGGCTCTTCTCTTGAGTCCTTCGTTCCCCTTGGATGTGCCCAGGCATGTCCTCTTCAGTGATTTCTGGCCTGCCAAGGCAGGTATCTTCAGAAATACACTGTCTTCTTTTCACCTCTGACAGGTGTGGTGGCTCACTTGGATATCCCGCTTCCCCACCTTACCCAGATTTGCATGTGTTTGGATCCCTCCAGTGCTCAAAAATCAATCTGTGGGCTCCTTTCATTTACATATGTGGGTTTTCATATTGTGGTAAATGTAGCACAGGTGGCAATTTGTTTTGGCTTTGTGCTGGACAACAGCCAATCCTATGATCACACCTTTCCACTGCATCTGTTTTGGTGAAGTGCAGTTCTGGATGCCTGATCTATTTCCAGCATCTAGTTTCCAGGAGTGACATTTCTCTGTGTCTTCATTCTCAAACTGATGGCTACTCCACAAGCTTGCCATCATCTTCAGTTTTGTCCGTTTGGTCTTCTTATCATGATCCATTCAGTCTCTACATCTCTGGCTGAGGATACTCTGTGTTTTGTGTGGTTCAACCTCCTTTTGTATGCTTCAAATGTATTTTTTACCCTTCTCCCTTGCAGGAGCTGCCACTCACTTTTGTTTTGGCCTTCACTACTTACCACTGCACTACTTACCACAGGGATAGGTTCATCTTCTTCCTTGACTGCCCCATTCATCCTCTCTTCCCAATACGGTCTTTCTGACCCAGACTTTGTTTTGTACAGTCTATTCATTATTACCTCACTCATGACACTTGTTAATGCCTTTTCTTGCTGTGACATTCCTCTTCCTCTAGCAACTTTTTCCACTTTACCCGGGTGGGTTATACACCTCATCTGCTTAGTTTCTTCTTGTATGGGTGATGACCCTTTTCTTCTTTTTCATCTCTCCTAACACCATGTTTTTCCATAGCATGGTTTGTCTTGCTTCCAGTCATTGACATCCCCTGTATGAGATCTTGTAGGCAGGGGTGCGGATAACTCCTGACACATTAGTATCTCATTACTTGTAACACAGGGAGGTTTCATCTACCCTGGCTTTTGTCTCCCTACATTCACCATTCCCCACTTTTCACAATGGCTCTGATGGTGAGTTGTTTATTTTTTTTGTTCAGGTCTCACAACCAATTTATTCAAAATATATTACAAAGACAATGAAATCATCTGAGTGGCCAATGTTGCATCACAGGGAATAGTTACCCCAAACCTGCATTGAGTGGGGGAGTACAGAAAGTGTTAAGCCCATACAAACCTTGATTAGTGCCTGCTGTTGAGATGTGGTTTCCTATAAGATTGCTTAGGCAGTGTATATATATATATATTTTATCTTTTAGGCCATTCTGTTTTTGTTAAAAAAAGTGACAGCAGCAGGTGTGTGTGCCTGCCCTCAAATTTGGCTAATGCCCATTGTATTTAATCAAAGTAATCCATTGCATTGTCTCTTAGTGTGGTACCTAATTCCAGATAATTGTGCCTGATGTCACAGTCAAAGCATTCCTCTGGTGTTCTACCCCATGCAAATTCTTTGTACCCCATTTCTTCTGGTAGAGTATGAGAGAATCTTCTACCCCACTTTTAGTGCATTTCTCTTGCCTCATTAAGAATGAGCATATGTTCATATGTTAGTGCTCATTGGAATTACTGTGCATAGAGGTTGTGTCAACCTTCTACTGGTGAAGAGCTATAGCCTAATGATGATTATATGTTAGGTTGGTGTAATACACATTGATATTTGTAGAGATGGGAGCTTTGTTCAAAGCTTGTGGAATATGCAGGAGTTTACATGGCAGTGCATATGAAGTAACAGCTTTTTGTGGTGCAGAGAGATATCTATCTGAAATATATTTTCAGGTAAAGTAAATGACCTTTCACAGTCAATTCTCATATGAAATCAAATTTACATAATTACATATTATAAGAGGCACTGGAAATTTTTATGGATTGCTCCTGGATTGGATCCTTGTAGTAACGATATTTCACATTCTTTAGAACCTTTTGAGATAATAAAATCTGAAATGTCATCCATTACAAGATTCAAGGCAGTGCTCCACTAGCTCTTCTAGCTATATGTTATTTACATTACTTTAAGTATAATAATCAGTTTAAGAAAACATTTAGAATATATCTAGATTTATATGATGAGTTCATTTTTAAGAACAGGATTTCCAGTTTAAGCAACTTTTTGGCACAAAAAAATACTTAAAATTTCCCTTGAAGTAAAAACAAGAATTGTAAGTTTCTTGTTTTGGTGTATAACTGAGTACAATTTCAAACTACCTATAATAATGTAGTGAAAAAGTTTTTATTTCACTCATACATGTAATATATGACAAAATATTTATAAAGTGCAGTTGAACTTTCTTAAAGTTAGATGAGACTTACATCTATATTTTATAATCATGTATTATAGTTATGCTGTAATCACTATTAAAACATTTGTTAGTTTCAAAATATTTATAAGGTTACACTATGAAGAAAAAAAACATACTTACATGTTGAGTATAATGGGACTGGATGCTCAATATCACATGTGTTGTTTCTCCATAAAGCTACAGGAAGTTACAAAGACATTTTTTTTTAAAATTATGTAATAACTTTTACCTAAAGAACTACTAGAATTCTTCAATAAAAATTACAATTAATAATAGTTAGTTTTAATTATAAGTAACAAGCAAACCACAGAAAGCTTCTAAGACCACTCTGCCTTAAGTCGTTGGGTATCCTTGCTGTTATTGGTGTTTTTGGCCTATTTAACATACACTTAGGTCTCTCTCTCTCTCTCTCTCAACTAGCTGTGTGTGTAGATTTTTTTTTGCTACTTGCTGGAAAATTTTGCTCTGCCAAAAAGAAACCCCAGTAAGAAAATAATTAAAGATATTTCAAATTAAGTCTTTTTGCAACAACTGGATCTTAATGAGTTCCTTAACTTACTAGTATCCAGGTTTTTATGTAGAGAACTGATTAATGCATTTTTTAAAGAACAGTGAGGTGCACCTACCTTCTGTACTGGAAGCTGATGATGTATCATTATCAATGATTGTAAGAACATCAGTTTTTTAACAGCCATGAAGTACCAATGACCAAAACTATGGTATGTACAGGTTTTCTACTTTTAGTCAGTGGGATAAATTAGAAAAATGGATGGTGATTCTAGGTTATGAAAAAAACAGAATAGGTAGTTGTTTTCATTGAAAATAAAAATGTAAGAGAGAAAAAGAAACCAATTCTTTAGTAATAAAGTTATTGATATTTGGCTAAAAAGTAAAAAACATTATTCTTGCTTCTCTTGGGCCCATATTGTATATAAATGTACTTTACAGGGGATAATATAGATTAATCTTCCCCCTTTCTCCCATTGTCCTTTGTGTGTTTGAAGTGCAAGTTGGCAGATGATTTAACTCACCCGAGAAGTAATACATATATTAAAAATCACTTCTAGAAATGATTTTTTTTATGTATTACAATATTAAAATATCCATTCAACATGAAATAAAATAGAAATTGGAACATTTTCTATTTATAAATGGGAGATATCAGGACTAACATATAAAAAGAAGATATCAAATTTGAGCACATATATATATTATATTCTAACAACTAAAAATAAATCTTTCAATTATTTTTTAACCTTTTTTTGAATGTGTTTCAATAAAAATCATTTCCATAAGGTCATCTTGTTTTCTTCCTGGATGGTAGAAGTTCACAACTTACCTAATTTAACATAACATGATTCTAGTAGAAGATTCTGCAACCATAAAACGTGTTGTTTCAACCCTGCTTGACAGAGCTTGGCTACATGTTGTTTAATTTCATCAGTACCAGAACCATCATCAGAGTTGAATTTTTCCTTGACCCACACATCAATATTTTTTGTTGGGTTATCATGCTGATCTCCAAACTGAATCATCCAAGTACAAATACTTTACATATATATTCTAAACACTGCAACAGCTCATATTAATACACTCTGTGGTGTAACATATCTCTAGTTATTCTAATACTCAAACTGTCAGAGTGTGACAGCTTGCAATACCCAATGTTGAAATCAAAAGAACAGTAATTTAAACCTTGAAAATCTGCAATGAATAAATCAAAATCATCATCACAGATAAATGATGGAACTGACTTTAATAGCAACATAATTGTCTAACAATTACAAACAATAATAAGAGATTCCTAAGAATGCTATTCTTGTATAAAAGAAGATAAATATTAAGAAGTACACAATAATATTACTATATATATATATATATTTATATATGTATAAGGGGAGGAAATTTCATATGGTACACAAATGTATTAAAAGATTGTGAAATATATATGTTTTCATATATTTTTTGTGTTTAAGTGTGTTTTAAGAACAATATAAAAGAAAGACTTATTTCTTGTGAGGGTGGTGCCAGTTTTTCTAGTGAGGTGAGGCTACATTTCTCCAACAAGCTAAGGCCATTTTTTCCACTTTCTTTTCTTTTCTAAGTGTTTTACATTTGTTTAAAAGACTCTGAAACAAGTTTGGCTGCTTTGTATTATTTCTGTTAATTTTTTCTGCACACATAAATCATCTCGTTTAAATTTCTTTTCCTGTCTTGACCCACTTATATATGTCTCCATTTCTGTCTTCAATTTTTTAGTGTATCCCTTTCTTGTACCTCCTTAATTATTCCATTGAATACTTTTTAAAATATTTTTTGCCTGAAAGCTTGATGTGTCTTTTATAATTATAAAGAAATCATAATGAATAATTGAATACTGGAAAATATTTCTGATGGTTTTTAAAGGTTTATCATATTTAGAGAATATGAAAGTTTAAAGCTTACGTGAATAATTCATTTCAGGTATTAGGCTGTATGTATTGTGTTCACTTGTTGTTGACAGAATAACCTTAACTTCTCCAAGCAAAATATCAGTACTCTTAAAGTTCATATTAACAAAAAAACTCATGGGAGATTCAACTAATTTCAAGACTAAAACACCCAAAAAGGCTACAAGTGTTTACAATGTTCAAAACAAAACATGCAACACTAACAAAGTTTATACTGTAACACAGATGTGACATTTTTATTAAATATAATCTAACAGCTTCCACTTATCACTTCTGCATTTGAGATATGACACTTTTCTTAGAAAATGACTGTTTAAATTTGCACGTGACCATTTTAGGACAAACCATACACAAAAATGTAATAATAAATCACTGAATACATTAAATTTAAAAGATTAATAGGATTTTTTTTTTTCACTATGATTGCTGTCATCTTGTGTTATGTCTTACCCTTGTCCTTTATGAAACATATCCAATGTTTCTAAAAAAAATCTGAAAAATAAAACCAAGACTTACTTTTTTTTCTTTTTCTTTCAAGACTTCATAGACACTGTGGCTCACAATACGTTTACTGTACAAGTGCCACAAGACCTTTAGAATAAAAAATGCTTAACATGTGTCTGCTAAGGTATCTTGTATATCAACAATTTACACTTTGCTGAAGTTTGACAATGACTTGTCAATGTTCATCTCACAAAGAATTCCACACAAACAACACATTATAATTTTACATGTTCAAATGTTCTATGTTTTGGTCTTTAAATTTAAATAAAAAATCAAGGTGACTATTCAAATGAAACTTTTCATATATAAAAAAAACTATACCAAATGTTTAATATATCTTACAAATAATGTTCATCAACATAGTTATAATTCTAACATAAACTTCTGTATTAATATTTTTGTTGCCATCAGCACTAAAATATTGGTTAATACGAATCATGGTTTTATGCTGTTTATTACCATTCTGGAGGCAGTTGTGGTTATCTAGACAAAAATTTGCATTTGAAAAACAACTAAGTTTGATTTTCTCAAAGTCCTAAGATTGTCTATTGAAATAAAGAACCCACATTTCAAACACAAACAACACTATTTCCAAAGACTGATTACTTGCAGTAAGGTTATGATGTATATACATCAACTGTTGTCATAATTAGTAGACTATATGATAATATAAATTTTAATCATTAATTAGTTACTATTTATATATATTATTATTATTACTGTTACTAGATATTAATTTCCAATTAGTTTATGTTTTAGTTGATAATCAACTGCTTTAAAGGAAGTCCTGAGAATAACTCTTTGTGATGGTAGGCACTGGGATTAAATGCTGGGTCTTCATATTAAGATTAGTTTGCACTAAACTGGAGTTTCCCACTCTTAAAGCTTAAATCAACAGTCAAAATTGAGAAAAATATTAACGACATCTCAAGAATTATCAAAAAGAACTTAGAACAGAAACATACAAACAATTAAGAGTACACCACAACATCACTCCTCTTATCAAAGAACTTCCTAAAACTCATAATATAGTATTCTGAGAATGGCCAGCAAAGCAGAGGAGTCAGGCCCACTAATACCAGGAAGTTCATGGATCTCGGTGTATATTTCCCAACAAACTGTGATGGTTGATTCACAAAGAGTAAGACTGTCACAGATTTACACAAAGTATAAATACTTAATAACAAAAAAGAAAGTTAACTCTAATGTTGCAAGAGAACTTGAAAAATTCTTAAAGAAAAAAACAACATAAAAATACATAAACCTGTTAAAGACATTAAAAGTTCTCACATAGAAGTTAAAGTTACAGAAACACTGCAAAAACCCTGCTTAAATCAAAATGAAACATTATTTGCATTCTTTGGTAAAATCTTGTAACTATTCTGTGTCAAAAACGAATCTAAAAATCTGCTGAAAGTCTCTAAGTATCTTTGAAAAAAATTCTCTCAGGCCTAGACACTGTTTTAAATATGGAAATAAATCCTCGAGTCGTTAACACAAGAAATAGTGGTTGGACACAGTTAGATCAATTGGCGAACAGGCAATGAAGATCAAGGCGAGTCCACTCACTGTTATTGTCTTATTCACTGACAAGAATAACTCAGATCACTAATTAAAAAGTATGCTGTTATTCCTGCAGAAAAATAAAAAAAGCTAAGAGTAGTGGGATGCCACCACTATGGCAATGTGTGTATAGGAGCCAACTACAATGAACTTGGATATCTACAATCTCAGATTCAGGAATGGGTAACTTGTGAACCTTGGAGAATCTAGGCATTGATATAAATGAGAAAGATCGATGACTGGACACCAATCTCATGTCTTCTTAGGCCCAACAACCGATGGGAATAAAACCCCGGAAGAACTAGCGTGATGCTCTCACTACCCCCAGACAAACCAAACTTTGATAGCCCTAGAACTAAGTTTCAAAACCTGAGGATCTGCGGGAGACAGAAACCTTACAGGTTGGATGGATAATGGTGTGAAGATGTGAACTGAAGGACTAATCCTGACTCAAGCACCTGCAGTTCTCATGGATTCGTGTTTAAGGTTACCACACATCCAGAAATTCTTGGAGACAAGCCCCCTCAGAGCCCAATGGCATACAATAATCACCGATGCTGCTGGCGGCAATCTGACCAAGCAGTGGAACCCTTGGATTTGGACAGAATCTATTATGGGTACCAATGTTAGGGGTCGGGACCCTTGAATAGCAGTGGAACTATGACCCTCTATAGTAGCCGATGATATTCAAGATGCCAACGACAACAGGGATGAATGTAGAAGCCGTCAATCAAACCAACTCGCATGGTAACAATGTTACAGCTTGTTATCAATGATGTTGGTGTTCCTGAGAGTCTCTCAACAAAGTTTAGTGTAAGGAAAACAAAAAGTCGGATTTTAGAGTTGTAAGACCGTAGACTTACCCTGTCCCACCAGGGGACATTGATCTATTCAGGTGAACTACAAACTCTGCCTTAGATCCCCTAATTTCGAGGAGCAGATGTATTATTTGAGAGTCAGAATATGCTTCCACCATGTTGGATAAGGCATAACTGTTCCTTCAAGTAACTAAGAAAGAAACCTCTCTGCATGAACCACAATGTCCATGGATAGAGAGAAAACAAAAATATTGGCTCCCAGACCTTTCAGCCATCAAGTAAGGTGCAGGCTCAAAACTGAAGAAAACAAATTACTGGCAGCTTATCCCAAAGTAGCCTCCTTTTTGTTTTTCATTTAAAGACTGTGTTTATTACCATTGATTGGAACAACACTTAGTCAGGTAAATTTGTTTTATTAGAGCAAAGCAGCATTGGGCTATCTGCTGTGTCCATTATTGGGAAACGAACCCCAGATTCTAGCATTGTAAGTCTGTAAACTTACCACTGTTCCACAAAGGGGACAGAGAAGCCAACAGACTAAAAGAAGGCACAGGAAAAAGCAAATCTAAATTTTCTACAAAATGTTAAGGATCACCCTCAATTGCAGCCTAAGAGCCTCCTGGAGGAACACCACCAAACTGAATATATGTCTCCATCTCAATACGAATAAGATCACTGACAGTCCCAACTGAGAGTGACTCCTCCCAACCCACCCTGATTGTTGTGCGATGCTAGATATCAGAGGTGAGATAGGAAAGACCTGATTTGGTCATACTGCAAATAGTCTTGCCAATTGCAATTTTTTTTTTTTCTTTACATAAATCAACTAGGTAACATGGAGAAACTCAGAGTATCTCCGAATGATCATAGCACTGGGAAGTAAAGTAACAGTTGTAGTGTGAGAGAATGTAAGTACCTAACTGATAACATACTCAGTCAACCTAGAGTACAATTCAGTGAAACCTAGAAACCTTTCCTGAAACCATTAAAATAGTTAGTTGCTTTAAGCTCTAAAGGGAAAGACCATCAACACTTTCTAACAAGAAGAACCAAGACTGAATCATGGCCCTACTATAAACAGCTGTTCTTCCCTGAAAGTAGCAGCAGATTAACAGCCACATGTAGGATATAAACTGGTTAGGAATTAGTTTCTAGTAATAGTAATAATGAAGTTAGTAACTAATCAATAATAAGACTTAAATGATTGTACAGTCTACTAACCATTAGTATGACTCCAAAGGCTGACCTTTTATTATTCTATCAAATATTTTAATAATTGTTCTTCTTCAAGTATTGTTTACAAAATTCAGTAGGGACAGACCTAGAGATAAAATATCTTATAGATTATTAAAATGAATATGCTTTGAAATAAAGGGAACAGTCTCACTAATGTATGTTTACTATTTTTTTAACAGTGGGAATAACTGTAATTCTAAAACAAAATTGCTGACCTGTTCTCTGTTGCATGGAAAATTCTTATCCTTGTCAGCAAAATGTTCCACAATACTTCCTATAGGGTCTGGGTCATTTTCAAATTGTAAGTAATACCAGTACAAAGAGTTACCACCATTGCTTTGGCTGCAGTCAGAAGATTTGCTGCTTTCATCACTTTCATCTCCACTACTACTGAAAAAAAAAGTCACTAAAAGATCACATGATGGAAATCTAAAAACATTAAATAAACACACCCACTGAAGCCAAAATACAAATATCTTCAGACAGTTAAGGTATTCTTAAAAACTGATAAATGTTAAATTGAAAACAAAAATTCTTATTTAAAAAATAATTATCACAACTTTGTCTTTCTTTTCTCGTGTACAATACACATTAAAAGTGAATGCTTTTAAATCATACCACTTTCTGTAGAAATAACCAAGAAAACTGATTTCTCACACACACACACACATATATATATATATATATATATATATATACACATGCATCAGTATATAGCTCAATCTAAGTATGCATTTGGACAACTCTTCACTGTTGCTCTTGTATTGGGATTAAATTTTTCATTCCAAAGTGGTATAAATATTTCTTAAAATTAATTATACTTCTAATAGTTTAAACATTTTAAAATACAGTATAATAAGACAAGTTTTAATAAAGTGAATATTCTACTTAAAACCCAATTACCTTTGATCTCTAGTATCCAAACCATGACCAAAAAGAGAATGTACACGTGTTTGTGGAGTATGCTGAGCAGTTCGAACAAACTTGTTCATGACATAGGTCATCAAGTCATTTTGGTACTAAATGTGAATAAAATATACTTTCTAATCAAAAACTCAAATGTTACTGAGAACTAAAACAGCATATTTCAAAAACATTAAAAAATCTGGATCTTTTGCATTTGTAGAGACTTTAAAATAACTGTGTACAGAACATTGGCTGTATTACTAGTATCAACATATTAAGAAAGTTTCAACTTCATACAAGTTTATAATATTCAACCAAAATATGCAAAATGCAGATGCTGGCATAGCATCAGGCCTTTGGAGCTAGAATCACAACATACTGCTGATAATTAAACTTGTTATAATACATGTACTTCTAAGTCTAAAGATGTTCTTGCTTGACAATCTTGTTTAACATTTCATGACTACTCTGAACACTTCTTCAATAAAGACTTTAAGTGTAGCAGTTTAGCATGATAATATTAAAAGAAGGTTCATGCCTACAATATTTACAACAAAGTATTCTAGAAGGATTATGCAAGTAACCTATATTGGAATAAAGTATTAAAATAATTGGTAATTTTATTATTGTAATGGTTTGTTCAGTCCACTACATGTAGTGTCCTAACTTTTGCTCATAAAAATACAAAAGTATAACATGGTTCTCTCTGTAATTTCTATTAAATTTTACTGTGAGTATATATAGATATATAATAATTATTTTTTCTCACACAATAATGCTTATAATAAATAACCTTATTTAAGATATTTGTCCTCAGAATATAATATCTACTAGTCTCATTATTGGTTAAAGTACAATATGATATTATAAATAAATTTCAACTTAAGGAAATAGATAGGTAATTTTTATGAAGCAGAATTCCACAAAACTGATTTAATCCACTTGCTAGTTCCTTGTTTAACAAAAAATATACATACACAAAAGTATTGTGTTTACCAATGCAAATAAAAGTTTAGGACAGTGATTAGAGGAAATACTTTTGATTTTGAAAACATAGTAAAGACAATGTTACAAAAAATATATATACATACTACACTAACACAAAAGCCACAAGGAAACATTGCTCAAGAACAGAATATTGTAATTCAGGTACCATATCTAATAAACTATAAATGAATTCATCAGAATTAACATATCCATAGAATGCACACTGTGCTTTTACTTTAAGTCTACTATACAGTGCTACAGTAATTATATTTTTTCAGTTATGTTTCTACTTGAGTAAGCATTACATGTACACTACAAGTTGGGTATATAATACTCATACTGGCAAGAAATATACTCATTATTTTGTTTATTTAATGCCAAATATAAGTATCCTAACCTCAGAAATGTTCCAATCTTCTTCTATAATTTGTGAGAAGGACTTCAGAATTACAGGATGGAAAAGTGATTCAGGAGAGTTCAAGTCACCAGCAACGTGATGCATCATTGTAAAGACGCAATCATTAACATATTCACTAAAATAAAAATAAATTCACAATTTTTATTATTTTATCATACATGTCCATACAAACATAGATAACCTCAATACTGAGCATGCTAACTATTGTAGGAATCAAAATATTTTTAGTACTTATGTTACAATTTATTTTAATTTTAACTAGTTTCTATTACTGACAGCAATGCTGGATTATCTCACAACCACTGAGATGAGAAATCAGATTAGTCATACTTTAAACTGGTCAGAGGTGGACTAAATGTAAAGAACTTCATTGTTTTCTTTTGGAAAAAATGAATAAATTCTGTTTTCAGTTAGATAGATAGAGAAGGACAGAGAAAAGGGTTGTAGATATAAAGTAAACATTCACATGACATGTAATAATTATCTGAGTCTGAACAAATATAAAAGCTGAAAATAATAACTTGCTTCTCATTCACTTTAATATGATGAAGTTCATCAGATTTTAATGTAATTTTATAAATACAGCATGCAAGAGGAAGATACTTCCAAGAAAACTTTTTTTTATCAAAACTCTACCCATTTGTACTTAGGCTTTGTTCACATAGGCTGCTTGATATTTCTAATAATGACCCCTTTTCATACAAAATAAATTTTGCTCTTTCTATTATTTATATACAAACAATAAAAAAAATGCAATAATTAAATATGATGCAGGGATGGCAATTCCAAAAAGTACAGAAAAAAGGTAGGGAAGAATACACAAAACCATACAAAAATCACTACATAAGTAGCCAAATCTTTCCAAGAATAGCTTTCATCTACAACTAAATTTTGAATTCCTGTCAGTTGCATAAATTTAGGTTTAAATAAAAGCATTTAAACTGAATAGTGCTATAAATAAGCTTGTAAGACTGATTCAGTACCTACTGGCTACTTATGTAGGGATTTTTGCATAGTTTTGTGTATTCATCCCTAGCTTGTTTCTGTACTTTTTGGCATTGCCATTCCTACATCATATTTAATTTTTGCAACATTTTTTTTTACCACTTGTTTCCTCTCTTTTTTTAAGCAATTTCATTGAAGTAGGTTGATAAGTGAATATTTGTATATTTTTATAGTTCAATGGTAATATATATTGTTAATATCATATCAATTTTGTCAGTTTCTCTAAGTTTGGATTACATTACTAAAAGTTTCACTGAAATTGTTTTGGCAAATGTCTCAAACAGTCGTTATATAAGAACAATTTGCACTGCCATCTAGCGACAAGAAATGAAACTGTTATTTATGAAACCTGGAAATAATATATGCTTATGAACTCAACTCACTGCTAAGTAGTAATTTTCCATTTTATTATCCCCCCCCAGAAAAAACGTGTGATAGAAGAACAGAATAACATTATTGTTATACAAGCTGTGAAATACTTGATAATGGCAAATAGGTGCTCAAATAAGGCTATAACTCAACTTTAGCAGTTATTTGTAAGTGTCATAGAGTAGTAGTAGATTGAATGCAGCAGACATTTTTTTCTTGGCTCTTCCCTACATACTAAGCACTACTGTGCTTAATGATAGGATATATCTATTTTGTAAAACTAAACTGTAAATTAACTGAATAAGTAAAACATAAATTGTTTTAAATGCTCACCTATTTGTTCTGAAATCTTCTAACACTCTTCCATACTGTTCCATTACTTTAACAGTAGAAAATCTAAAAGATTACAAAACATATATTTCATCCATAGTGCTAGTCAACACAACAAAATGTCCATGACGTTATTACATTTATCATTTTTCTTTAGTTACAGATGTTAAACCAAAATAATTCAAAAGTTAAACTATTCATATATTTCTTGGATCATAAAATATTATGCAAACAAAAGCAGACACAAGCAATTGTCCAAATAACAACACTTTGATAAATGTTACAAAATGTATCACATAAACAGATGCACATAGGCTACTCGGAAAACACAAACACTTTTCCTAAAACTATTTTAGCAAAATGGGTTTACCAAAAGCAAGGTCTAGATAGGAGTCTTTGTTGCCTTAGTGTTCAGAGATTGCAGGGATTATAAAATCAACATGCTTCATATATTAAGTTAAACAATATTGTAAGAAATAACACATGGTCAGTTTATTTCATATAAATAAATTATTTTCAAGGTTACTGTTAATCACAATGCTCAAAACAGTAATCATGTTTCCTCTCTTTTACTTGGATCATTAAACATCTCCATTATTAAATTAAGAAGTTTGTATGGAAACAAGTTTCAACACTTCAGGCCAACTTTTCTTTGTGAGTAAAACACATACAATTTACTTTATAATTGTCATTCCAAGTCCCTTGAGGGCATATGACGTCAGTAAGGTGTTCAGTTTATAGTGACCTTCTGAAATGTTGAAGTTTGGCAACTTTTGAACTAACAAAGAAAAGTTGGACTGAAGAGAACACGTGAAAGTGTCGAAACTTGTTTCCATAGAAACTTCTTGTTCCAACAATGGTGGATGTAAACTTTATTTTATTTTATATCTTATTCTACACAGTATTGTGTATTTACTTGCTTTCTCCAGTATTATTATATGTATCATAAAAAACCATAAATAAAGAAAACATAAGAGAAACATGTTGTTTTGCTAAAGTCTATATTGTTATATAACAAGTACCTTATGTACAATAGTTGAAATCATAACGTTTATTAGATGATAGGACTAAAGTTGATGTATTAATTTAATTTACCAACTTTGTTTCAAAATGAAAAGTTGACTTTGGGTGCAAATTTTACTTACTGTTGTAAATGACCGAGAAGATCAAAATCTGCTTGAATTTCTTCATCACTAACAGCTCGTTCTAGCAGTACAAGAAGAGTGTGGTTGGTTGTGACCACATCAACTAAATATTGCTTGGTGTGAATAAAAGGACTGTAGTTTCGAATCAAAAGGAGCAAAAGCTGACGTAGGTCATTCATCTTTACAAGTTGGCCTTAGAAAATAAAATTTGTTTTATTATGCTTTAAGTCATCAGTTATAATAAAGCTGCTCTGCTTTTTATTTGCAATATTTGTACAGAGAAATTTAGAGTAGTTTTTTCGAGATTCCTTTTTGGCATTACAAAACTTATTATACATCATCTGTAAATCAACAAAAGCTACACTTCACATACTTTTAAGGCTAAAATACTTGATTAAGCACTACGAATTAATTATAGAAACAAAGACAATTTTCTCTGGGCACTAGGAAAATACTAAGTAGTTTTTACAGTCAAAGAGTAATATTCTGATGTTTATTTTTGAGATGAAAGTAATGTTTTTATTTCTTCATCTTCATACAAATGTAGAAAAGTACTTATATTAACTTCTTAAATTTCTATAATTCATTCCAATCTGGTACTTTCTTTTGAAGTTGAAAAAGTATAAAAGTAAAAAAAAAATTAAACTCACCTTTTAATTTTTGAAAAACTATCTTCTCTCGTCGAGGAATAGGCTTACGACAGTAACTGTCAATTGTTGCTATCAATTCCCGTAAGGCAGTAACAAGCAGGTGCATGCTGAAGAATGCAAATTAACATCTTTTGTTAAACAAATGGCATTTCAGTAGTTTTATTAAAGCTTTTAATTGTTGAATTGTCACAATACTTTAAAATTGATTTTAACAATAAAACTTTACATAAAACTTTAAAATCACACTTTTATATTCTTCATACAGTGTCAAAGAAATAATATTACATTTAAATTCAGGAAACTTACCGTCTTAACAGAGGCCTGAGCTCAACTTTTTGTGATCTATAGAGAAGCTGCAATTCTTCACACATTGATACACCTTCAAAAGCCAAATAACCAATGACATCCACAGACAAGACAGAGCTGAAATTATTATAAAAATTATAAAGATCTGATTTAAAATGATGGAAAACTTAAAATATCTAAGTTTTACTAAATCAAACTGCACTGAAATTTAAGTTTTTTTGTCATACATTTCAGAAAAAAAAAATTATATGCATACATAATTACATCTTTGATCACAGATTATGGTAACAAGTCAGGGGAGTTTCTCGGATGATGTAAAATGATCTTGTATCACAAATTTCCACATAACTAGACTATTGCTGTATCACTTAAACTGACTACTAGGTTCCTCCATTCTTAAGTTTATGCATCATAACTATACATCATCCTACTAACAAGGCTGACACATAAGCCATTCAGTTAATGTATCAGCTTAATATAACTTTGAACAACAAAGTTATGGAACCAGAGTAATCTTTTCCAAGTAAAATTTGATAAAAGCCATGACTTCCTATTACTAAAAATATTTCTCAAGATGATTGTAATCTGCCTTATAATTTCAGTGATACAATATTAATAAAGTCATAATAGTTTTATAAGCTGATTTCACGAGTATTTTGTTAAAATTAAAAAAATGAAAATTCACTTTATCATGGGACAAAATTGATTCAGTGTGAAAGCTGTTATTGAAATAGACAACCTGCCTGGTGATTAGATGATATTTCAGTCCAATCCACATAAGATGAAGATACACAAATGTGGACTGAAATGTTGTATAATCACCAGTTTACCAGGCAGATTTTTCATTTCAACAACAATTTTCAACTGCTTGCTACTTGCTAAGATTTTCAAAGAACATTAATTCAGTACTATATGACAGTTTCATTTTAAAAAACTCCACAATTTTTGTAATTTATTTTAAATGAGATTGAAAATTACTTTGTTTTGCTCTAGAACATCTTATTTTTGGTATGTTGATATACTATGATTAAAAACTTCATTTTAATTTTGATGAAGCAATGCACAGTGTCCTACTCCAGAAGGATCATAATTTACTGATAACATAATTTTTTTTATACAAAATGCAGCTGCTTCCCATTATTTGAAAGACTGAAACATTAATTTTAATTCTAAATTAAAAATTAACATTTGTTCAATTCATGTTTCATCATTTTTATAGTTATCATGTTTTGACTAATGGTATACTTTTTAAGTCTTTGATTGCTATCATTTTTATGCTGACCTGATGTGATGTAGTCCAAGACTTAGGGTTGTGGCTAGACGAAGAAAGTAGGTAAGAAGCCACAGAAAGTGAGATTTATCTAAGACAGGTCCATTCTGTTTCAACAGTGCTTTCTAAAAATGATAAGAAGAAATACAGCATGATTAGAATATTTAATAAAAGTTAATTTAATATAAAAATTATAAAATATTTTGTCAGTTCTATAGTGTAACATGCCTCACTTTTTCACAAAAAGATATGTATTATTTTACTAGATGATGAAATACAATTTTCATCAAAGGTAAAACTTAAGTGGTAAATCTTTTTATTTTATAAAGGCTAATTTTAAAATTTATAGCAAATCTCTTAATAAACCTTATATGTAAAACTATTTTCACAATTATTATTGTATTCTATGATAAACATGTTTCAGTTTTGAAACAGCAATTTAATTATAGCTTGACATTTGGAAAGATTTAAATATTCAGCTCTTAAGATAAAATAGTATTTCTCTAAACTCAATCTATGAAAAATGTGAGGCATTTTATTGCCATTATCCAATAAATATGCATATTGAACAGTATCAACTTCCTATTAAGCCCTCCTATATAAATTGCATATTTTTACTTCAGCTGCTGTACAAAGATCATAGCTTAAGTATAAGATTTATGATTATTTCAAATATTCAAATACTTTTAATTCGATATTTTTATATTACTCTTTAGTACAAGAATCCCTTTTTGTTTTGTAAGTTTGATATGTCTCTTGTCAATTCTTTTAATTTTTGGTGGTTTTGTATAATACAAATGACTGAGATATTTAATGGTAAAAAACTGTAAGCAGTGACAGATAGAAACATTTATATATCTTTCCTTACATTGAAAATAATGTTTAAGGCATAAATCTTGTGCTACAAACATAATGCATTTCCAATGTTATTTTTTCTATAGTAGTAAAAAAGAAGTTAACCTACATCTTATTCTTAGTTTAGTTCATGAATGAAACAAATGTAGTTTAACATTAATTTCTGCCAAATTTAATTGACAAATACCTAATATGAAAAGTTATAAAAATACCAGTATAACATAAATTATGAAGTTTATGCAGTACAGTTGCTTATCAATTTTAGTTATCTTTATTACATTTTAAAATAAATATAACAGAAGCATTACCATTACACATGTATGCTTTCCTACAAAATAAGTTTTTATAAATACAGAAAACTGGTCTTAGCATTTAATCAAATATGTATGTTTTTATATACAGGTTGTCAAATGTACAGAAATTGTTTGCTCTTAGCTTGTGGTATATTCAGGTAAAAACTGCTGATTTCCCAAAAAGTATCAAATGGATGGATCTACAAATAACTAAAGATTCGTTCTTGAAATAAGGAGAGTGATTCTGAACAGATAATTTAACTGAGTCTTTATATCGTGTGTATAATAATTAAACTGTACAAATTTCGTAAATATTAAAACAATTTTTATTATAAAATAGACAAAAAGGAAATTCCATCTACATACTTGTGCACTGAGGGTAATAAGGTGAACTATGAGTCTTCACCACGCCCAACACTTTACACACGTTATCCAGTTCTCAGTTAATACATCCACAGTGATCTGTGCTAGCATATCAACCAGTAGATAGGCTTTGGCCCATCTTCAGAAACAGTTGATGTGGATTTCTTCTGGTACTCTGAATCATGTTATCCAGATTTTGTGAATGGTTGGTTTAGTGTAGTTTTAGTTTTGTATTAGGATTGTTCAAAGGATTTCACAATCTAGGAAGGGGACAGTGATGTAAGCTATATTTTTAATGCTTTAATTTAGATGTTAGCTAGAGGGCATATGAGTCCTAAAATACTTAGAATTTTATAGATGATGTTAAAAATTTAGTAAACTTGACAATTATCTTAAAGTGAGACATCAGTTATAAATATGAGAATTATTGGAGCATTGATTCATTTCTTTTCAGTTGGTAGAGTGCCTTGTCATTGAATGAAAAAATTGAAGCAGTACTAATTATTGCATATATTCAACTACTTCATTCAATTAGCCATTAAACTGTACAAGTAAGTTTGTTTTTACATAAATTGTAGTACCATTAATGTGGTATTTCCATTTGAGCACCATTTATAAACTTAGCCCTACAAGTACCACAGTTTTCAGTTTACCTCATAATTTAAAAGCAGCAACCCAAATGAAAGAACAATGTTAGAACAACATTTTCTTAAACTGTGTAAGTATATTTGTGATATCTGTGTAGGTATTATTTTTGAAAATATGTTACAATATTCTTAATAAATGTGTTACAACAATGGAACATGATAGATTTTGGCCAGTTACTATCAAACCTATGTAAGTCACTTTGCAGTCACTCAATAGTTACAGTAGAGTTCATATGGTGCAATTCAAGTCACTTGCATCACAAGTTGCCCTCTTGTGGTTCAGTTCCAAGTGATGAATGAAATGTACAGGTTTTTCCTTTCTATTTGTCAAACACATGTACTTAAATTAAATAGTGTTTTTTACTAGTTTACAGCTTAGAAGACCTACTAAACCACAATGTGATTGAGTAGCATTTCTTCATCCCTGAAAACCTAATAATATCAGAAATATATTTTGCTACATCTGTACAGTTTCAACTCTCACATATATGAGAACTTTTAACTGTCTTTCAGTGTAGTTTTATCTTTACCTTGTTTTAAATTGAGTAGAATATCCATCTTAAATCATTCATTTAAACAATATGTAAAAAATGTGTGTACTGCAGGTAGTTAACTAAAGAAACTTAGATATAATTTATCTTTCTGATTATGCTATAATAATGAGTTTTACCATCAGGTCTGTTATCAAAATGTTGAATCCACTATGGAGAAAACTTATGGTGAAGTCCTTCATAAGGTTACTGAAACAGAGAAAAATAACACATAAAGCATCCAGTCAGTCAATGTCTTGAACTGCTTAAAAGTACTGAATAAGTGTGGCATTATAGGAATCACAAAGGCAATACGACTTTTTCAAATGAAATATTGGCATGTAGAATATGGAGAAATGTTGGAACAGTTATTATACACATGTACTTATTACATATCTGAACAGAAAATTACTAAATGTTTAATCACTAAAAATATCTAACTTTAATTTCATTTACAGATAAGATATTTCTAGTATACAATAAATTATTCTTTTTTACCTTTTTATTCATTTTACACATTTCATGAATCACAGTACTGAACAGATATTTTGTTTACTAATTTTTCTAATACACTGTAATGTTGCACAATGATTTGCAATAGATCCAAAAAAATGAGTTACAGATTGTTTCAAATCAGGTTCAAAAATGAAATACAACTTATGATTTCCTTCAAAAAAATAAAATCCCTACACCCAATTTTTTTTATAGAAATGACTAAGTAAAACCCCCCTAAAAAATACAATATTACTTTACACATTCAACAGAAATTATATTTTTGACCAATAAGTATAAAATATTACATGAAGTATTTCAAACCTGATGTCATCATCTGAAGGACTATGAGTTGATATATCGTGCAGGATACGCACATCTTTTCTTTTGTCCCAGACTAAATCCCTCAAAGAACTTTTGCCTTTAGCCGCGGCTGCTGCGAGAGCAGCTTCAAAGCACACGGAAGGAGAGCATTTTACTCCATAACTTGGATTGTTACTTTTTCCTTTTCTTCCAACAGGTGGGTGACTGCGTTGCTTTGATTTGACAACAGATTCATCCTCATTACTGGAATCACTCTCTGCTTCTTTTAGGGAAGAGTGCACACTTCTGTGTTTAGCAGTTGCCTTTGGATGTGCTTCTCGACGATGATCGTTTACCTGAATACTCTGTAGTACTTGTTTCTTGTTTGTGTCATCAGAGGATGAGTGACCATTGGAAAAACCAGATGAACAGCTGTCTGTATTTTCAATTTGTTCTTCCTTTGAAGAATAAGTTGGTAACAACATAGTTGCACATTCCACCAATGACTTTTCTGTGTGATCAACAACATTTTTTGAGTTTTGTTGCTCACTTTTAAAACACTCAACTGACTTATTTGTTTCTTCATCATACAAACTACAAGATTCCCACTTATACAAACTGTTTTTACTGGTGGGTGATGACGTGCAGCTTTCAGTGGAACAAGCATCAGAAGTTTGAATAAAACCAGAGTCACTGTTGTGACTATGAATGGATTTTTTATTATATGATTCACTGCTCAGAGTGGCTGAGGAATGCTTTGAAGTATCACTTTCTGTTTCCTCCCCTGAACTCTCTGATCCTGATGACACCAATGTAAGGAGTTGCTGAATTTTGGAAATGTGCTTTAGGAAAAATAATATAAAAACCATGAGTAAAAGAAATAATGAATAGCATTGATCTTAATTTTAAAATAAAATAACAGGTGGATTAACTTTACTTTGCACACAAATTTTCAAATGAAAGATTATAACAATGAGTGTAGAAAATGAATCTACACTTAGTTGAAGCATAAAAATCTGCACTGGATAACATTTCCTTTCACTGAACTTGCTGGGCCAGAGGGAGCTGAAATTATTGTAAATGGTAAATCTGCAATTTGTTAATAAGCATGAGGTACTTACATTTACATTAACTGCTTGAGGTACTTGATTTTACTTTACAGTTACTGACTAAGCCAATTAGGCCAATTTATTTAGGTGGTTTAAAATAATTAAAAAAGCCAAACTGATAATTCATTTATTTTAATTGAAACAACCCCTCACTTTGTTTTATTTCTAAAACAAGCATATACAAAATTTCATTGTCATGATTTGTAGCCTATATGGTCATCTATGTCTCATTACTAATTTTTTGTTTACCATAAGTACTTTATGGTCAAGATTTATTTCTATCTACAATCTAGTGCAGAGTTCACTCTTGAACAATAATTTATACAAGAGGATATCAACAATAATAAAATTACATTTTATAAAACTGCAGAATGATAATAGTAGCAACATGTTACATTTGAGGTCAACTGGAAAACAAGTGCTTACATTCTATTTCACTAGTAGGTTTAATAGGTTCAATACAACACTTTATAAGTACAAAGTTATACTGGATAACTTGCTGAAGTATCTTTATATTGTTACACAACATCAATGCCACTTACGAAGATCATTATATCAGGAAACCTTGACAACTTGATAGACTCATGCAACAAGAAAGAGGGTGATAGTTAGGGAACACCATTTAGGTATGATACGAGGGGAGAGTTTCCCACCCATGTTTAATGACTTGTTTATTTTGGGAGCATTATACACATATACATATATAATGTGTAGTTTAAGCTATCTGAATGGTTATTAAATAATATAGGAAATAAACAGAATAAATGCTTCCAAAATAGACTGATTTGTACATTTTAACTTTTAAACCGTTGACTGCTGATTCACCATATAGGGTACAGTCTGCATCCAGCAGTTAAATGTGAGTGTGCTGTATACAGTGTACAGCTCACAAAAATTCTGCATGAATTTAAAGCAGCCACAGTCAAAGGGTTAAGAAACCCAAGAGCATCCAGCTGGCTCCTGGAATGCCAATAAAAAATGATACCCTGCTACTGGGATCTGAAATGATGCTCCTTGTGGTAGCTTACATACCTTGTATATTAAAATACAAAATAGAAATTTACCTGATCCTTATATAGAAGAGCAATCAGTTGTACTATGGCTAAAGTCCATTTCTCCTGAAAATGGATATATAAACTCACTTTAAAGATAATACAAAGTGAAGTTACAGTTTTATATTCTGGAACTGTGGATTAAAAACAACAAGAAAGGACAAGAACATCATAGACTTTAACATTCATACTGTTATTAGTGCTTGTATGAATTTCTTAGCCAACTTAGTGAAGGTCAACTTTATGATTTCCTGAATTTCTAAATTTTAGTGTTAGTTGCTAGCTCCAATACACTATTGGCACTTAAAAAGAAAACACCACATATTCCAAATTAAAGAGTAGTACTAGCTAAAAGTACATCATAAAAAATAATTTAAAGGACATGGTACTGTCAACAATTAAATCGTACAAAAATTAAACATATATATACTAAATTATGAGCACATAGTTAGTGCAGCATAGATTTAAATAACAGTAAAATTAAAGTTTTAAAAAATGTGAACAACAATAATATTTTGTATAAATATAAAACTTCAGAGAGTTCAAAACTTATAATCCTATAAGATTATCATGAATAATCAGCATTGTTGTGTGTATAATACAGTAAATATTTTTCAAAAGGTTATTCAATTTATGAGAATAAGGTTAATCCTAAGCACACCCACATACAAAGCTCTTTAGCTGAATCAAAAATAATATACAGGTATATATATATATATATATATGTAGAAATTAATTAAGGGAGTAAGATCTTTTCTCTGTTTCCAAAGAATACTTTCAAAAATGTTCTGAACCACTATTAAACTATTTTCGTTGGATGATATTTTATATCATTTTTACAAATTTCTGAGGTTGTTCATTCTAAGGATATGAATAGTTGATGCTTCTTTAACATAACTAATATTGCAAAACCGAATATGATCTTATAGATAAAATTTCAGTTTTTCAGAAGTTAAGATCAATGATTTCAAAAGAATGGACAATGTGCCCTATTAAGGGCATATGTTGCATTGTATATTTTAATGAGCTATATCTAATTTTTGTATGAACTAAACACTGAAGAAACCTGCAAAAAATGAGCAAGGTCAACAGGTAATGAAGAAAAGGTGTAAAGAAGCTGAACTTAGTAAATTCCATTATGAAAATATAAGTACAAATAGAATTATTCACATACAGGTTAACATAGTTAAGTGTGAAATAAAAGAAACATTACAATGTAAATATAATACTTCATTCTATTTACCATCTAGATCTTAATGAAAATAGATTGAAAAATCAATAAAAAACTGAAATAAACAAAATATTATAGTTTAGAGTGAAATAGTTATAAAATATAAGTGAAAATTCTTTGAAATATTCTCAACGAATTGACCAAGATAGCTTTTGGAAAGCTTTTCGATCATGTACAAAGCATGTATTTTATAGATCTGCATAAACAAATAAAATACACTGCAACATTTTAATTCCATACCTTGTGTTTGTTGTTTACCAGCAATAGCAGAGCTTCATCCAGTCCTTGAACAAATAAATTCCTGAAAAATATATTTTTAATTTGTATTAAACTTTCTCAAAATATTCATCTAAAATTGATGTATCTTCTAATAAATGTTAGAATTGGACTAATTATTTACACCAGGCTGTGAATAACTGGCTACTCTAGTGTAAATAACAACATTTCAACACATTCATAAGCTTTTGGCTTTCTTATTTGTTGTATAATGATCTTCAAAATTTTCCTAATTCCAATAGACTAAACATGGGTAGGGAAAGTTTTTTTTTGTAACTTGTAGTCACCCAACAACATCAATTATACCTTACTGACCTTATGATTTTGCAGAGATCAAAAAGTTAAGAGAAATGCTAATAAGAAATTGTGGCACATATTAAAATAGAATCACAAATATTTTGAAAACATTTTAAATTTGTAACTCTAAGTAACTAGTACGTTTACAAACTTTACATTTCTCTAATACAAACTCTGATGTCATAAGAGCAATTCCATCTTTCCCAATTAGAAAAGATTTATCAAAAAAATTATGATTCATGACTAGTTAGGAATTTCCATTATTCTGCTATGCTAGTACCCTCTGATGTAATAAGCAAAGCTGGTAATGTTTAAGATTTGCATACTCCATAGCACAGGCTATAAGATAATTCTAAATCTATTAATACAAATTACCAAACTATTTTGTTTTATTAGTTAGGAAGAAAATTCAGAGCAACAGCTCCTGTAATTAATTTTTTTCTTAAATAGAAACTTAAATCACTTATGTTTCAAAATGTATTAAATATGACTTACAAAGGCTGTAGAATAAGATACACAAAATATATAACTTTCACTGAATAAATGTGATGAAACACTTTGCATTTTGTGATGAATATATTATTTTCCCTTACTATCACCCATTTAAATAGTTTTAGATGCATTATTTATTTTGGTTTGGCTCTTTCTTTGAAAGTTAATGCTAAAAAACATAACCAAAACTTGTTACCTACCACACAAGCTTATTTTGAATGCTCTGCCATTCCAGAAACACACTTTCATCTACACCATATTTAACAGTGTCAATTTTATCAGGTATATGAAGAATATTTCTCAGTAACAGAAGACAGTTATTCACGAATGAAGACCCAGATTCTTTAAGAGATGACCCTTCTTTTTCCTATTGAAAAGTCCAAAATAATAAATGGAATAGCAGCATTGTTTGTAAGGAAAATATGAAGACAAATGGTAAACAGTTGGCTTGCTAGAGGAAGCAGTGCTATACATTAATTGATTTATTAAGTGAAAAAGGTAAATTTTAATTTCATTAGACTCCATATTGAACTTCCATAGTAATAATAAATGAAAATAAAACGATGCTTGGCCTTATAACTTTAACATTTACACAGATACTTTGCTTCAGAACAGAATTCTTCAGTCAGAGAAACTTTTCAAAAGAAAGAACAGTAACACTGCTTAAACAAAATAACAAGTCAAAATATAAAGCATGAATAATAAAAAATCAAAACAAAATAATGAAGTAAAATTTGAAATGAAAATTACTTGAACGGTCTGGCTTTACTGTGAAAACTTTCTTGAAAGTGATGAAGAACAAAGTAGGCACTTATGAAAGAAAAATTATTGTGCCACAAGAGTTGCATTAGTAGTCTTATTAAATATGAAAGTGAAATAATAGATTAATTTTTAGGGATTTTTAAATGACATAAACAAGCTGAAAATCTTGTGATACTGATTTTCTATGTTCTATATATTTGAAAACTTGTTTCAAGAAAACAAACATAAAGAATAAATTTTCAGATAACCAGTTTCTTAGACATAAGGTATGAATTAAAAAAGGAAAAGTATAATTAAACTAAATTTGACATATTAAGCTAGGTAGTAATTATTATCAGTTAGCTGGATTTTGAATGGGTTTGTTTGGTATGTTTTGAATTTTGTACAAAGCTACATGAGGGCTATTTGCACTAACCATTCCTAATTTATCAGTGATAGATTAGAGGGAAGGCAGCTAGTAAACATCACCCACTGCCATCTCTTGGGCTACTCTTTTACCAATGAATAATGTGATTGACTGTCACATTACAACACCTCCACAGTTTAAAGAGCAAGCATGTTCAGTGATGGGGATTCAAACCCACAACCCTCAGATTGTGAGTCAAGCACCTTAATCACAAGGCAGCTTTCGAGTAAGACAAGTGAAAGAAATACAATAACTACCAGAATTCTTATATGATACCTAGAATATATCAAACTGACAAGCACTTAAAGTGTTTTACAATTTATTTTTTGCCCAGTCAGCTTCAGTTCCTTTATTTACGAATGCATTAATAAAATATAATGAAATTAAAAAAGTATTGAGCAAAATTAAAAACTTAGCCAAATAATGTCAGTAAAAAAAATCCTACCATAAGAAGTGTATCTTTGATGCTTTTGATAACTGCAGCAGTGGAGCGCACATCAAGGAAAGCTTTTCTCCCTTCCAAAAGGCAGTGATGGAGTTGAATTATGGTACTTTTTCCTGAGGAGGTTTTGGAAGCAATGTCAACAGGAACTAAGCATTCTAGAGGAAGTGTAAGATTCACCAACAACCTGAAAAAAAAAGGGTGAACTATTATAAGTGTAATATAACTCAGAAAAATAAGTGAATTTCGACAGCTTCTGACTACAAGTACATTCACTATATTTAAGCACTGTTGGCCAATTCTTGTAAGTTATCTGGTGAAAATAAATCAATGTGTAGTTCATGTAATGATAATAAATTCCTCCTTTAACATTTCTACAAACTTAGCCACTTGTACACTACCATAAATTGCTGTAGACCTACATTATAAGTGACGTTAACTAATGTAAAACAAATCAACCGTACTTGTACAAAGTAACCACAACAGCTAATATTCTGACTGATTCACTATTTATCTTGAAATCACTTTATACTCTTCACAACTATCTTGTATTTATAATCTAGCTATGAATATACAAGATAAAACTTGATGTCACATCCTTAGAACTTTTAAGGCATTATATGCCCTTTAGCTAACAAACAACTTACAATATTAAGAATACAGCTTACAACACTTCCCCTTTCCTGCATTGTGAAGTCCCATGAGTAATCCTAATATACAAAAAAATAAAACACTAAACTGTCAATTCACCAAGTCATTTTGGTGGTTTTCTCTTCTGAGACCCATGGCATATGGATGGAATGGCATCCTGTCCCTTGTTGTCACTAGCTGTTCAGTCAGTGGAAGGTATTCCTTCCTTGGTAGGTGGTTGGGTGAATCCACTGGTGAATCCAATCTAGATCATCCCTTGGAAGTAGTCTAGATAGTTCTGTGGAGTTACTCAATTGGCTGTTCTGTTACTGATGTACTTCAAAAGACAATCACAGTGGATTATCTTTGCCTTGGATTGTCTATCATTCTGGATTTTGTTAGCCACATTTTCAGTACAGTATATGGTTTCTCCCACAATGGAATCCAGTCTTATCAGCATTAACATCAGAGCAACTTTTCATTTTATCACAAGCTGATTTAAGTTCTTCTTGTCATCAATATCATCTTGTAATGTATGCATCAATGGTATTTTGTAATCTGTCACTACATATCCTGTGTATGTTTTCACTGAAAATCATTGATGATGATGTGTTACTTGTAGCTTCATGTACTGCTGTATGATAGCTCATCAGAAACAATGGAAGATCTCGATCTCATGTTTTCTGATGTTCATCCACATACATAACTAAATGACTTAACAGTATGCAGTTGTACTTCTCCACCATGTTATCAGAAGATAGATGAAGGACTGTTGTCCTGGTCTTTTTAATCCCAAGGATCGGACACATTTCTGGAAACAAGTCTGATTCAAAGTTCTGTTCCTGATTCAAGTGATGTTCTATGAGCAACTCTTGAAACAAATTTATTGATGAAGTTCTTCATATGACTTTTTGTTTACTGGTTAGGAACAATATATACATCTGGTCATTTGGTGAAATAGTCTATCACAACTATGATGTATCCATTCTCACTGTTATTCTATGGAAGAGAGCCAAAACACATCCACTGCAACTCTCTCTAGTGGTGCTCTAACATAATAATGCGAAGCTGTCCATGCTGTTTCTTTTGAGAACCTGTTCACTGACAGCAGAGTTCACATGTTTTACACCAATTCTCCACAGATTCCCTGCACCCAATCCAGTAGAAGCATTCTCTTATTTCCTGCAGTGTCTTCTTCATAACTGAGTGTCTGGAAGATGGAAGGTTGCGGAGATGATGGAGTGCTTCAGAATGGAAAGATTGAGGAAATACCAATTGTGGTCATTGTTTATATCTTCTGAAATCTTCCCATTTCCAACATAATAAGCTCCCCTTTTAAAAATTAAGAATCCTTCTGTGCCCAATACATCTTTTTTTTTAGGCTGTTTGGAGTAACTATGAGGATCTTTCTGCACTACTCTTCAGCAACTGAATAATTGGTTTCAAACTCTTTTGCCTGAGCTATGGCAGAAAATGATTTTATAAAATGATGATTGTAAGAACACAGCCCAAAAAATTCTGTTACTTCAAGCAGTTTCTCTGATGTTGGCCAGTTCTGGATGGAGTCAATCTTCAATGGATCTGTAGATACTCCTTCTCTGCTGACTATGTATCCCAGGAAATTCATTTGTTAATGGAACAATTCACATTTTCTGGGATTCAGCTTAAGGGCCTCTTTCATCATCCTGTCCAGAACTTTTCTTAGGCCCTCATAAACATTATCAAAACTATCCAATATGCAATTATGTAATCCAAATAGGTGAATGCTACATTTCATGGTAGTTCAGACACAGCACACTTCAACAGTCATTGGAATGTACAGAAGCTTTACATAATCTAAATAGTAATATGACAAATTGCCACAATCCATTTCCTGTGGTAAAGGCTGTCTTCTCTCTACTTGCTTTGTCTGTAAATATCCAATGATGAAATACTATTTTAATATTGATAGAGCATTCAAGGTTCAGTCAATACTTGGTAGTGAGTAGGAGTTCTTCTTTGTAACTTCATTCACTTTCTAGTAGCCCAGATAGAAACTTTTGTATCCATCCTTCCTTACAAGTTCAATAGGTAATGCCCATAGACTGTTACTTGGTTCTATTGCTCCCTGTTCATTTATGGCTTCCATCTCTTTGAAAGCCTCTGTTGTGCAAGTAGATGTCATCTGGTTAACTGATATCGGGGCTGCATCTTCAATATCAATTACAGCTCCAGTCATACAAATCTTGTAAGTGATGTGGTAAGGGTTTGATATTGGACTTCCTATATCTTTCCTTAAAGGTGACTATGTCTAATGTTCTTTGATGTGAAAGTTGGCACTTTTGAGGAAAGATATAGGAATAAATCAATGCCAAATCTACATAAAGATTATAAACTGGTTTACTTCTTTCCTTCACATTTCTAACCTTGAACACTTGTACACTGCTGTAGGTCTATCACAAGTGATGTTAATTAATTGAAAACAACTCAATTTACTTGTATAAAATAACTGCGATAGCTAACACACTGACTTGTTCACTGTATTTTGAGATCACTTACAAACTATTTCCTATTGATAATCTCACTTCAAATATACTAGAAAAAACTTGATGGCACATTCTTAGAACTTTCTAGGTGTTTGTCCTCTAGCTAACAAACAAATTACAACATTGTGCTGAAGATCAAAGAAATAAAATAAAAAAAATAAAAATTCTGTAACAATTTATAATAAGTTATCAAATCATCACATATGGGAAATGAAAATCTGTATGTTTCACATAACTTTTAACTGAGTATTGTAAGCTAATACATCTGTCATATGGCATCTAATGTTTTGCTAATAGAGTTTCATGAAATAACAAGTCCATGTTATACATTTTGTATCTGACTCTTTAAGACTGTTATCTTCATAAAAGTAACATATGCTGACTTCTCACTTTAGTAGCACCCTTCCACCCATAAACACACATTTGTAGGTCACTTCACTTCATTTTACATACAAAGTAGGGTGGTCACGTGATATGTCTGATGCGGATATAAATACAGAAATTTAGTTATGCTATGGTTTGTCTTCAAGATACTGAACAACAATTCCTCTTCAACTTCTAAAGAGGCATGATAGTAGCTGCCCTGCCCATCTAGCAACAACAATTGCAGTTAAAAAAAATACCTTTTTTCTTTAGCAGCTGTTTAAAAAACATCTGTCAATAGCATGTATCAACAGTGGCCACTGAAAGGGAATTGACTGCTACTGTGAAAATCTGTTGCCATCAACAGCTAGCAACTAATCTAGTAAAATGTAACTGAACTGCAATAGACATCAGACAGTGTTCAATTAGCAGATTTCTTTAATAATAGTCAGGGTTCATCCATCTCCAATCCTATTACACAAAAGCTCTTATAAAAAGTGTCATATGGCATCTTAAAACCAGTCCAAAGACTACTTATCTTAGGTGTGAACAGGAAAGCATGGTTTCAGTGGTGTTTAGAATGCAAACTGTGGACAGTGAATGACTGTAAATATGTTTATATTGTTTATATTTTTCTTTACTGTTGGCAAAGTAAAAATATAGAGAAATTCCCATGTGTAATTTTATCTTGCTTTTGTTTAGTTGATGGTGCATGCTATTGGAGGTAATGTGTTACACATTTTTTGATATATATAAAACTCTTTATTGAAACAATATTTCCACAAAGAATACTATTTATAGGAAAGATTTTTTGTTTCTTATAAATCTTGCTTTAAATTTTACGAACCCACAATGAACAGAACTTACATACAACATATTTTACATTATGTTATTAGTATCTGACCAACCTGTAAGTATGAGAATCAGCTTTCCAGAAGAATGGAAAATTTAACAACAAAACTTGTGTTGTGTTCCACATAATTTTATTATTTGATTATTGTATACTAAAATTAGCTTTTTAGAAGGAATGCAACTTTCATAGGATGTTAGATCTGTGTTTACTTACCTCACAGCAACTTTAAAAATTTCTTTGTCATATTTTTCATGGACTAAAATTGGAACTAAATCCTATAAAACAATGAACAAATTAAAAATTAAACACAACTTACAACATCCTTATATTAACACAACAAAAAATTATAAAATTTAAGTCTTGATTTACTTCATTAATATTGTTTTACCAGAGTTAAATGCTATATATATATATATATAT